CGCCCCCCGCGCGCCTTACCTGCAGCCGGCAAGAGCGGCGCGGCTACCAGACTGAAGGCCGCCACGTGCTGCATCTGTGCCGCCACTGCGGCCACCGGGCCGAGGCCCGGGCCCTGCGCCGCCGCCAGTAGGGCCGCCTGGTGCTGCAGGATCTTTGGGAGGGAAGAAGGCCGGGTGTGGAGGGCCCAGCGGCGGGCATCTGTCCCGGCGCCCCACCCCGCGCCTGGCTCACCCGCTGCCCGCCCGTGCCCGCCAGGCCAGGCACTTACAGCGGTGGTGTAGGCTCCGCAGGCCCCCAGCGGCAGCGGCGCCGGCTGCAAGGCACTCAGCTGGCCCGCCATCTGCTGCATCCGCCGCAGCGCGCGCTCGCGGTCAGTGTCCGCCAGCTTGACCACGAGACTGGACGAGGCGCCCTGGGTAAGGCAGGGAAGGCTGCAAGGACGGGTCTAGACCTCAGCCCCGGCCCTGGGCCGAGGGCCTTGCTCCTCAGGCCCTTTCCCCGGCATGTGGGGAGGAGAAGCCAGTCCCCAGACCCCTGGCCTCACCCCGGGCCCCGGCTCCCGCCCTCACCGCCATGGTCCGGCTGCCGTGCAGACTCTGGATGGCCGCCTGAGCTTCCCCTTGACTCCCGAACTTCACAAAGGCACAGCCTGGGGCAGGATAGAGGTGGCTCAGGTCACAGAGGCCAAAGGGTCATGTGGTCCGGAGTGAGGCGGGGTCATCAGGAAATCCAGGGGTCAGCTCAAGTCACCTTTACTGGTGCCATCGGGGCTCCGCAAGACGGTGCACTCCTCGATGTGGCCAAAGGGCTGGAACAGGCGTCTGACGTCCTCCTCACCCTGCTGCTTGCCCAGCATACCCACAAACAGTTTTCGGTCCTCTGGGGACAAATCCAGGAGTCACCTGGGAACCCTAAGACCTCTTGGACTCCCCAGAGTAACAGGAGGAGCCTAGGAAGGTAGTTAACCCCAGTCTCTCTCTGGGAAGAGGTGAGTGAGCAGGCCCTACTCACTTGGGGCCACAAGGTTGGGTTTCTTTGAGGGGCAGGATGACCTACAGACAGATCTGGAGGAGAGAAACTCCAGATTTCCATCAGGAAAACCTGGGTCCTGGAACTCGTTGCTCTTGAGGGAAATGATTCAGTCCATATTTTTGGATGGATAGAGCCCTACATGCATCATTTTATATGTTTGACCTTTCTGTTCTTAGAGTCTGGGAAATGCTATTTTGGACCATTTCAGCCCTATTAAGGGAGGGGAGTCCTCAGAGGAGTCCTTGTATTCATACTGGGTCTGGAGAAATTAAGTACACCCTCCTGATAAGCCTGATGGCAGTGGCTAGAGTCCAGGATTCTGGGTCAAAAAAAAAACAGCACGGAAAGCAGTTGTCTCATTGCACTGCCTCAACCCCAGACCATGAGCACTGGAATGATAAATCCCCGACTCCAGCACCCAACTCAACCTGCGTGCCCCTCCTAAAGGCCTAAAGAGAACAGGAAGCTTGGGTTCCTGATCCTCCAACATTGGCATTTTGCCCACTATGCTTACTGAACTCATGACCCCTTTCCTTACCTCCCTTATTCCCTCACTGAGCTTCCAGGGCCCTCATTGAGCCCTGCTGCCTCCTCTCTGACTTCCTCTGTTTTCCTGCCTTGATCTCTCCCCAGGTGTTCATGCTGTGGGAGAACAAGTTCTGCCTATAGACCTGGATGGTCACCTGAGGATCCCTCCCTGTGCCCACCCTTCCTATGGGAATGGTAGAGATGCCCAGAGAGGGGCTGTAAGCTGGGCCCTGTGACCTTGGAGAAAGCTGGAGAGCTGGGGCTGGAAACCAGGGCTTAGCTGTACATCCAGCAAGTCGGGCCTCAGGAGCACTATCCAGGAGTGTGTGATAGAGGAGCCCAGCCCACAGGTCCTGCCGTCAAAGCCCCTCTCATCTGCACCAAGGTAAGTCTCTGATTTTGAGATGGGGCTTCATCAGCGTAATACAAGTTGGGAGAGAAAGAGTGGGTGGGAATCTGACTTCAGATTTCACCTCTGAGATCCTGAAGCCCAAGAAAACCCATCCCAAACTCCTTCACTCTTTGACAAGCTTGGCCAGGCTGATGGGGATCCTTGGATCCTGAGTGCAAAGGAAACAAGGCTGGTGAAGGTCATAGACTGAAGCCTGGGTGACAGTGAAAAGGAAAGTGAAAAGGCCAAAATTAGCAGTGGAGGGAATCTCCACTATGTGTGTGTGTCCATATTTCACCTGGATGGTGTGGGGTTCAGCCTAGGCTGTCCTGGGTACCTTGGTATCTGTCACCTGCCTGTTAATGCTGTGTCTGTATGGAGGGCAGGAGCTGTGGCTTATATGGGACAGACAGCATGTGTTTCAGCAGAATCCTGCCCTCTGTCCAGAGGATTACTGCCCAGAAATCCTGATGGGGAAAGGATAGATAATGTACTTGTGGCCAGAATTCCAGTAGAGGTACCAACCTTCTGTGGTGAGAGTACAAACCATGGGTATACTGTACTCCTGGGAGGGTTAGCCACAGAATAGTACCCTTGGAATGGATCACTGGTTTCCTAACCTTTTAAAACAGCTGTGAAATCCATTGTTCTAACAAAAATATTAGGATGAAGCTCAAAATGTAAGAGAAAAGTAGAACTGCTTGGAAAAGCCAGAAAAGTAGGAGGAGGGCTGGAGTTCCCCTTGCTTCATCTTCCCCTGGTACTCCCTAGAGGGGGCTCCAAGGAAAGTCCTTTGTAAACCACTGACCTAAAAGATAGAAAATAGAATTCCACATGGTGTATGAAGAGGGATCTGAGATCATTCTCTTCAGGAACCTGAGAAGTCAGGAAAGGTCTTTCATGATTCTCTTGACTAATCTGATGGTGGCTTTGCCTTGACATTGGAAGACAGGCCCTATTTGGTCAGGGAATCAAACCTTCTGAGATTGTTATTGTTCTGAGCTATGAAACTAAATTATGCCCATGCATCTACAAGAGGCCCAGGAGGGGCTGGAGAAGATCCTAGGGTCTCCAGAGTCTCAGGGCTTCATGATGCCCTAATTTATAGTGCAGCTGTGACATTGGGTAGGGTCTGCAGTATGATGACAGCACCTAGGTAAGCTGTCATGCCATATGGAACAGCATCCAGGTAGCCCTAGGTAGGAAGAGAGAGGTCATGGCTGAGATGGAGCCCCCAGGACAGAAAAGAGGTCTGTGTGAACAGTGGTCCGATCCTTCATCTGCTCTTCCTCTTTCTGCTCTTTTCTGATGATGGTGGTCAGTCACAGCTCATGTCGCAGACCATGAAATTCTCTGATCCTTCTGTTCCAGTGAGAGTCTCCCAAATTAAGAACTTCCATTTCCATGATAGGGCACTGACTCTACGGTTCCAGACTACTGGGCTGTACAGAATTTGAAATTGAAATGAGTTTGGGCTATGGGCTAATCTCTATGTTGCCCATTTCACAGATATCACCTTGAATCCTGGTGTCCTCTTTGCCACTTTACAGGGACCTTGATGGTGTTTGACAGGAGGATGATCTGGGTCACAGTGAATATAAGCATCAGATGATCCTGAAATGGTGGGATAAGTTTCTTAAGAGACCTGGTCAAAGAGAATTACAGGCTAGACTCCTGAGAGTAGCCCTCAAATCCACACCCCTGAAGATTTTGAGGGCCGATGCATGCTCCCAGAAAGATGGAGATGATGGGATTTAGCCCAGAAAATGCAATATCCTCTAGGTCAAACTATTCCAGTTTGGTAGAAAAGGATTCTGTAAGAGGTAGGTCGGAAATGTCTGAATAAAATCATTCCATGAGTGGTGGGTGGGTCCCTAGAAAGATGGAAATTCAAATTGGGAGGCTCAACTTTCCTGGAGTGGATGGAATTGGAAGATAGCATAAGTGTGGAGTTGAGACATAGTTGGAAAGACACACAGTTGAACAGTGTAACTGCATTTTCATGATGGCCACCTATGTATGCTCCTTGCTCTTCTACCAAATGCTTTTTTGAACCCAAACCAAGTTGTTTGGACCCTAGAGGTTCATCTCCATAAAGCTGTCTTGTGCAGCTGGTCATACAGGGATTCTAAGGTAGCAAATGGTGGGGTTGGAAGCCCAGAGTCAGAGTCAGTCCACTCCATCTTCCTCAGGAAAGGTATCAAGATGCTGTTCTAGAAAGAAGGCTCTGCCCAAGTTGGCCCAAAGGAGTCCCAAGTTTCTGGCTTCTAAGCCCCCCACAACCACTCACTTCCATGTTGCTGGGATATCATGATTGTAGAAACAGTGCAGGGACAAGAAATCAGAATTGGGGTACCAACCATCAGACACATCCTAAAATTACCAGTCCACCTTTCCATCCAAATACCAACCCAGGAGATCCTATTGATGGCAGCATTTGATGCTCTGACGTTCTCAGTGATGATTGCAGCATAAGGAGCCAAGGAAGACTAGGAAATGAGTGAAGGAAATATCCAGGGGAAACAAAGTCTCCTGATCAGATCTGATGAGTATCAAGTAGGGCTTTTTTTTTTTTTTGCGGTACGCGGGCCTCTCACTGTTGTGGCCTCTCCCGTTGTGGGGCACAGGCTCCGGATGCACAGGCTCAGTGGCCATGGCTCACGGGCCACTCCACGGCATGTGGGATCTTCCCGGACCGGGGCACGAACCCGCGTCCTCTGCATCGGCTGGCGGACTCTCAACCACTGCGCCACCAGGGAAGCCCAAGTAGGGCTTTAATTCCAAAAGAAAACTATTAGAACTAAGAAACAAATTCAGCAAAGTTCTCCTATTAAAAAAATCAACAGGACTTCCCTGGTGGCTCAGTGGTTAAGAATCCACCTGCCAATGCAGAGGACATGGGTTTGAGCCCTGGCCCGGGAAGATTCCACGTGCTGCAGAGCAACTAAGCCTGTGTGCCACAACTACTGAGCTTGCACTCTAGAGCTCACGAGCCACAGCTGCTGAAGCCCGTGCATGTAGAGCCCATGCTCCTCAACAAGAGAAGCCACCGCAATGAGAAGCCCGCGCACCACAACAAAGAGTAGCCCCCACTTGCCGCTACTAGAAAAGCCCGCGCACAGCAATGAAGACCCAACGCAGCCAAAAATTAAAAATATAAATAAATAAATAAATTTATTTAAAAAAAAAGAATCCGCCTGCTAATGCAGGGCACATGGGTTCGAGCCCTGGTCTGGGAAGATCCCACATGCCATGGAGCAGCTAAGCCTGTGCGCCACAACTACTGAGCCTGCACTCTAGAGCTGGCAAGCCACAACTACTGAGCCCGCATGCCAGAACTACTGAAGCCTGCGGGCCTAGAGCCGTGCTCCGCAGCAAGAGAAGCCACCGTAATGAGAAGCCCGTGCACCATAACAAAGAGTAGCCCCCACTCACTGCAACTAGAGAAAGCCCGCACACAGCAACAGAGACCCAACACAGCCAATAATAAATAAATAAATAAATTTATTTATTTTAAAAAATCAACAAAAAAATCAGTTGTGTTTCTATAGACTAGCAATGAACAATCTGAAAATGAAATTAAGAAAACTATTTCACTTAGCATCAAAAAGAATAAAATACTTAGGAATAAATTTAAACAAGACTGCAAAAGACTTGTATCCTGAAAACTACAAAATATTGCTGAAGAAAACTGAAGAAGATGCAAATAAATGGAAGACATCCTATGTTCATGAATTGAAAGACTTAATGTTGTTAGATGTCAGTACTACCCAAGGCAATCTACAGATTTAATGCAATACCTATCAAAATTTCAGTGGCATTTTCTTAAGAAACAGAAAAATCGATCCTAAAATTCATACGGGATCTCAAGAGATCCTGAATAGCCAAATAATCTTGGGGGGAAAAATAATTTTGGAGGTCTCAGTCT